AATATATATTAATACATCATTTTACTATATTCTCTAGAAATCATTTCAAACAACTTCATATTTTATATTCATTATATTATAGTAAACACATCATCATTCATTAATTCATTTATCACCAGACATCTTAAACCTCCAGTAGTTAATGATTTTTAAATAAATGCATTTCAATACTTAGGTTTAATTTCAGTGACGGAAGTCTACCATACTTGTATCAGTTAGCATTCTATCACTGTGACAAAATATCAGAGGCAGTCAACTTATAAGAGGAAAGATTCATTTTGGCTCAGTTTTGGAGTTTTCAGCTCATATTGATTTGGGGCCTGAGCAAAGCTGGTCACCTCACAGCGGCCAGAGAACAAAAAGAGAGAAACAAAGGGGCTGCAGTTGCAGGGTCCCATTCTGGGGACACTCCTAATGACCCACTTTCTGCCCTGAGACCCTGGCTCCTAAAGGTTCCAGGACCACCCCCCCACCCCCGCCCAGTGTTGCTACAGAATGGGGACAAAGCCTTTATCACATCATTCTAGGAGACCAACCAGATCCAGACTATGGCATCACTCAAACATGGCAAATGTCAAATTACTTACTGAAAGGATCAAACCAAGTGATATGAAACTGCATTTTCCAGCTTTTTATTTTCTGTGTCTAGAGATGGTTCTCCAGTATCTCCTTTATGTTTGCCTATCTTCAGGACAGAGGCACAGCAGCCTCTGCTCAGGATGGGCTTTCCTAGGCTATGTGTGTAGAGCTCTCCTAGAAGACTGAGACAGCACCTCCTGCCCAAGCAAAGGGCAATCTTGCTGCCATTAAAAAGACTCAAGTTTCCTAAGTTCTGAACCCTCTAACATCTTAAAATGTATACAACCATAGCACTAAACCCACTGGCGTAACTTCTTGGGAGAAAGAAAACAGAGCCAAATACGCTGATGCTTGTGCTGCTTGCTGCACTGAGTAATGAAATCTTTTGTCTTTGACTAGGAGTCTCATTTCCATCAGCATCAATGAAACTGAGGTAAGCTAATTTGCTAGCTTGCAAGTAGGATTATATCTTAGACTCTGTTCAGTTTCTTTTATTTTTTTAAAGAAACAAAGTCTCAACTATATTACTCAGGCTGAAGTGATCCTCCTACCTTAGCCTCCCCAAGAAGCTGGGACTACAGGTGTGCAGCAACATGCCTCGTTCTTCTCAGTTTTTGGATGGATGGATGGAAATACAGAGACAGATAGACACATGTATACCCTTTAGTTAATTTGACCAGAGAAAAGTTTTGTTCCTATTCTAGTTTAAAGTTATAATCAAAGTGAACTTCAATATAACACCATGATGGTAAATTTTATGTGTCAACTTGACTGGGTCAAAAAGTACCCAGACATGTGGTCAGAATATTATTCTGGATATATCAGTGAAGGTGCTCCTGGATGAGATAAACTGTGATTAGTACAGAGTGCTGGAGATTGCGCTCCCTAATGTGGGTGGGCCTCACGCATTCAACTGAAAACTGGAATCAAACAGGAAGGTTAGGGATCTCCTCCTGTTTGAGCTGACACATTGGTCTTTTCATGTCTTTGGACTGAAATGTCAGATCGTCATGGGTCTAAGGTCTGCAGGCCCTGGAACTGATACTTACACCAACATTTCTCTTGGAGCACCAGCTTGATGACTATTGTTCTTGGAAATTATCAGACTCTGTAATCTTGTGAGCCAATTCCTTTCAATAAATTTCTCTCTTGGGCTAGGAGAATGACTCAGTGGTACAGCATCTGTGAGATCCTGAGTTTAATTCCCACCACCCAAAAAAAAAAACAAAACAAAACAAAGCAAAACAAAACTCACCCCTTCCTCCCTGCATCTCTTCTACTCTCCCTTCTCCTATCCATCCATCCTGTGGGATCTGTTGCTCTGGAAAACTATGGCTAATATACTCACAGCTGTGAAATGGTCAGACACATCCTTGCAGGTTTATATATTTAACTCATTTATTTTTATCAGGAGGTTATTTTTTCTTGTGAATTTTAACAAAATCTTTACCCACTAGACATATTAATCCTTTATGTATCATATAGATTTCACCCATCTCTGGTTCATTTTTATTTTACACAAACAAACTGGTGATACTAGAAATTAACACTAGTGAGGTAGGAGATTAGGGTGTGGCCAACTGGCTGAATAAGTGGGCATGGCCTGTCAAACACAATTACCCAGGACACATGCACAGAATACTGTTTCTAAGCCCTGCATCTGCAACCAATCAGAAAATGCTATGTTTAATTTTTATGGGATGAGATCAAGCAGGCTTTTGATAGGATGGCTAGATCTGATGTCAGAATGGGTGAATACAAAAGATGGGGGCCATTAGCCTTGCGGCCACTGTGCTCTTTTTTTTTTTTCAGTGATCCACTCTCACTCTGCAAAGTGTACTTCATTTCCTACTTTTAATTAATACAAACTTCACTACTTTTTCATCTGTTTTGTTCAATTTTTTATTCAGGACAATATGAACCCAAGAAGAATCTCTACACCAGTGGTGGCAAAGGTATGGCACACGGCTGCAGCAGGCTATTTGTATCATTGTAAGCTCTAAAAGGTTCACCATCACTCCTTTAAACCAAATCCATACATAGCATCCCAGAAGCCCTGTAACATAGGAAGATAGATCTTTCACAAACAAGGAGGCCAAGAGACAGAGGGAGGGGGGACCATGGAGAGGGGAAGGAGACATTGAAAGAAGCTGTTACATACATGTACCAACTCTGCTCGATAAATATAATCATTATGTACCTCAAACATGTACTAATAAAATTAAAAGTAAAAAAAATAAAATGAGACCAAACTAAATCAGGCCCAGCGGGGGTGGGGAGGGGATACTGCTTTTCTTTCATTCTCTATATCTTTAGTAAGGACCCACACCTCACCTCCTACCACTCTTCCTTTCACTATCCCCCAGTAGTTATCTCCTATCTGCTTTAAGGAACAGAAGTATTTCTAAATGCAAAACAGTCTGGAGAAAAAAGGGGCTGTCTAGGAGGGGTGCCAGCTAGAATGTCCATCTCTATCTACGTGTGCATTCCTAAAATTTCATGAATCAGAGAAATGAATTAAATACTGGGAAATCATCTCGCTGATTTTAATAACCATGTCATTTGCTTTTGATTACACAATTTCGCCTAATTATGTTAGTACTTTTGGTTCTCTCAGGTTTATTCCCTAGGGATATAATTAAATCCAGAATTTATAATTTGCAAATGGACCAAAAAACCTCAGCTCCTCTTATATGAAAGATTTTATCAATATTTACCAGAAAGAGATGCCTTTGGAGAAAGAGACTCATTAGAATTTTTAGTAAAAAAATGATTAAATAAATGATATATGGGACAAATTATATAGAGAAAATATAGCAGATATCAGTTACTTTCATTTACAAAAAAAAGTTTTGAAACATTGTTTTAGGTTACATTCAGAGATCAGAACTCTTTCATTCTTGAAATGTTTACTCGTAAAATGCTTGGATCAAAGACGATCCAGATATCTGCTTATTTGTTTTCCAAATCACAGACAGGGTAAATTAATTGAAGGACTACTGACAGGAATTCTGCCTCTTGGAAAAACAGTTTGTTACACAATACCTCAGTCGGGTAGAAAAACAGACTCTGTAACTGATAATAATAAAATAAATTTTAAAGTATTATGCAGTGAGGATTTTTTAAAAAGCGTCCGTGTCTCTCTGGACTGCAGAGCACAGACATGTGTGGTGGTGTATGAACAATGTGAGGTATCTCCCTGGTAAAAGACAAAGGAGAGGGAAGCACATTCAGAAGCCTTTCACACTTTCCCTGTAAAGTCTGCTCAGCTTTTGTTATTCAGATTAGCTTTTCAAGGGCCAGAGCTACCTTTCTTCACTTATTTGAGAAACCTTTTGAATACCAAATACTATTTCCTATTCAAAACTCTGAATCTGTCATTAGGCAATTTCTAAAATAAGTCTCATAGCTCTTTCATCCTGATTCTTCTTTATCTCTAATAGTCCCTCCTTGCCTGATTCACAGATCTCTTGTCAGCATGCTGGCTTTCTCAGGCTTCCCAGGGTCCCCTGGACATTAAATGTGAAACCCGCTCCTCCTCCTGGGGCTTTACCCCTTCAGCTCTGTGCTCTATCATTTGGGAAAGCACCTCTACACATGAATATGTGCCATAGAATCAAGAATGTGATGGGGAGGGAGAGCTAGTGAGTTCAAATATTCCTTAAGGTAGCAAGCAAGTCAGATCTCAGTAAAATTCCAACTTAAAAGAACCATTAAGCCATGTGACAATGTATGATACTAGTGATAATACTGCCAAGGTCAAACCATTTCACTGGGTTGAAAAGACATGTACTTTCAGATCTCCTTTCTTCTGACAGTTATAAAGAAGTGCCAGTGAGGTACAAGTCACATTTAAAACACAGAAGCAGCTGTCAGATGTACCACACAAGCCTAAGGAGAATACTGCTAGGTGCAGACACCATGAGCTATAGAACAGCCACAGAGAACCAACCCAGCCCTGCTTGCCACTCTCCTAGAACCTACTTCCAGCTTCCTCCGCATCACAACTCTCCCAAGGGCTCAGGCAGAGCAGCAGCCTACAGGCAATGGAGAAGGCAGACACAGACACCCACTTTCATTTGTAGACATCAAATGCAAAACACATAAATGACTCGAAGGTGAGCGGCAAAAACAGACGCCACGAGCACACCACCCAAGCAGCATCCAGGAGAAACTGGTGATCTCTGCTGGGCCGACTGCTGGGAGCTGGTGTGTGGAGGCCACCCAACTGCGAGTATTTGATGCTGTCACCCTGCCGGACCTCAGGCTACCAACATGATGTCACTGAACACAGAGAAGAACATGAGTCACGGCTGTGCCAATGAAGAGGAAATGTTCTTTGTTGTGTACTATTAGAAAGAAAAGAGTTCTTAGAAGATCGATATATAAACAAAATCAATAATAAAAAGTATCAACACTCCTTTGCATGCTAACTCTTAGTGGGCCAGATTATTGCTTAGTTTTGTGTTCTGTCTTCACAGAGCTATTCATATCTCAGGTGATTAAATGCTATTTGAGCTAACAAATGAACTACTACCAACCACTGAGCTTGTAACCACATGTTGCTCTAAGAGCAAAGGAATGAACGCTAAGAGCACAGATAAGAACGGGAATTGCATGTGGGCCAGTTAGGAAGGGGTCAGCACCTCTGCACAGTGCTGGGCACCAAGGTGACCGTGTGCCAACAGAGGACATGGCTTGGAGTGGAGGACTCAGGCTGTATCCAGCCCAGCCTGGCCCACTGTGCAGTGGATATGAACGCAGAACTGCTATCATGATAGCAACACACGCATTCACTCTAGAGAAAGCATTTTATTTTATTTCTTAAATATTTCAGGTAAATACCAAAAAGGACTGACTATAGAGTAATTTACCTAAAGATGTGTAGAAAGAGAAAGCATTTAACAGGGGTGGTAGCCCGTTACAAACCTGTGTGAAGAGGCTAGATGCTGTGTGTGTGTGCCAGTGAACTGCAGCTCTGGGTGGGCAGGTAACCTTCCGCCCATGCCATCACACAGCTGTCACACAGATCCAAGTGATGTGTGTGAATCTACCTGCCTTAAGGATAGCTATTTGAGAGCATGGTGTGCGACATGTGAACAGAGCGCAAACACACACACTGACAACAGCCAACAGGCTTCACCAGCATGGCCTCGCCACAAGGATAAAGTACAGCACCTGCAAGCCCCAAACCCTGCCAGACTGCAGCCAGGTCAGCTGGCGCTGCCCAGGTGGAGCAGTCCTAGACAGCAGCCCACACTGGTGGCTTTCACACCTCAGCAAAGAGTGTAGGGAGAGAAAGCAGAAGACACCAATGATTACAAGAAAGATCTTCCAGTCAACCCGCAATGTCCGAAGGAGCCTGGAGAAGTGAGAGGCTCTTCCAGATACAGACTCAGCTCCTGGGGAAACATCCACCTTCGGATGGGCTTTCCTCAGGCATCTTTGCACCTACAGTGTGTTCCCCACTCCAACACTACAAGGAGTTAAGTTCTACAGAGTGCCTTATATCATTAAAAAATATAGACAGACAGAGACAGATACAGAGATAGGTAGATATAGCAATTATAAACACAAGTGGCAGCAGATAAAATAGCACACGAGTTCTCTGACCTCATGTTCCTTTAAGATTGTAAACTGAAATTATGGAGTATATTCTACATTTTGATCTGTAATAGCCCCATTCAAATAGAAAAGGTTTAAATAGAAATGAATGTTACTCTGTGCGTGTGTATACATACATGTGCGTGTGTACACATGTGCTGGAGACAGAACTCAGGGCCTTGCACATGCTAACCACACATATACTCAGCACCTGAGCCACACCCCAGCATTTTCTTACAATTTTCATTTTGAAGGGCTACTGCATGGCGTAGTGGCAGAGCAATTGCCCATCATGTATAAAGGTCTGAATTCCATTCCTAGCACCTCCAAAAAGAATAAAAACCCAAAACAGGAAAAAATGTACTCAACCCCATATACCCTTCACTTAAACTGATGAATTGTGTCTCAAGTATGTTTTATTTTTTGTATCAAGGAGATTAAGTTGCCACAGAAATACTTGAAGGTGACTTGAAGAAAATGAATTGGTAATTATTTTCAGAAACAAAAATTGGAAGGCCAGCTTTCCAATTGATTCTGAATTTGAGGACACTTCAGTAAGGAAAGAATGGATGCATTTGTTTCGATGGCTTGGAATTATCAGTCACACGTATTACTGTCGAGCTTTTCTGATTTTTTTTTCACCAAAAAAGGAAGTAAAGAAGGAAGGGAGGAAGGGGAAAGGAGGAGAAAGAAGTAAGGGAGGGAGGGACAGGATGAAATTGCAAGAATTTAAATTTAGACCCAACAACCCAATTCTGCACAAATAAAAGTACCCTTTTTTAACAGATTACAATGTGAGTTCATACCAATTTCTACCCAGAGAAATGGCCCACAACCATTCTGGAAGGGTAAAGTTTAGCTTTCAGGGTATGGAAAAGGGAGCAAAACAGGTTTAAAATGAAATTTTAGAAGACATAGATTTTTCCCAAAAAGGGTACTGACAAAAGTGTTTTCAAGATCATAAAAAGAAACGTGCTACACAGCTGTTTGTTCTGACCAATATGACTATACTAAATCTAAAAAATGGGTATGATTCTACATGCTAGATGCATGGAAAATGAAATTCAGAATTTAAGAAGTGAAAATGTAAATGTCTATCGTGAAACTCTTCAAGATAATTAAGTGCCACAGGTGATGCTTATTATACAGTCTTTATTTTGCACATCATCCCTGTTCCTGGTGGGAATGTGAAATAAGTGTTAATATGCTAGACTTGACCTTTTATCTCATAAATGTGAACCTAAAAATTAAAAGTCTATTTATTATCTATAGTTATTAATCTTCAGAAAATCATTTTCATCTGTCTTAAAAGAGTTTAATGTACAAATCTTCATCGAGTGGCTAGCTGTAAATCCTGGCACTAGACACAAGTGTTCATCTGGCTTTGTACCACTGCCATAGGGCAAGTGAGTCCAGCTGTGGTCTCTGGGAGTAGACTGGAACTTGAAACAAAAAACACTACATGTTCATACAATTAAAAATATGTGTTACAGTTTTAAAGCCAGAACTGGGCACGATGTTTTACAACTGTAACCTTAGATACTTGGGAGGCTAAGTCTGGAGAATCAAAGTTTGAGTCCAACCTGGGCAACTTAAGGAAATCTTGTCTCAAAATAAAAAATAAAAAGGGACATGTGTCTCAGTGCCAGAGCACTTGGCTAGCATGGGTTCAGTCCCCATCCCCCCCCCCAAAAAAAAAGATTTAAAACTGGTCAAGTAAATTATAAATACAAGCAAAATTTGGATATTAAGAGAGGGATGGCAAAAGAGCAATACATAGAAATAAAGGGCAAAAATAAATCAAACTTACTGTACTTTAAAGGCAAAAAAAAACCAACCCACCTCTATTTTGGACTATATGTATGTCTCCTTAGGAATTATAAAAACATAGAGATTATTTCTCCATCATTAAGTTGTTTCATAAAGATTTAAATAGTGCTAAAGTATACAGAATAAAATATTTTATTTCTATAATTCCACTTTAAGTTCCCTCTTCAAAATTAATCATGCCGGCAATTTGGAAAACATCCCTTCAATTTCTTTTTTATGGGTTCATATAACTGATACTCATATGTCTATATTCTCAGGTGTGATATTTAAAATAATTAAAACACATTATACAAATTCTGTAAAACTTGTTCTTTTCATTTAATAGCATGTCTTTCAATCTCTGAATACCTACACATCTATTTTACCTCAGCTTTTTTTAATAGCCACAGTGTCCCATAATACAAATATAAAAATAATTGATCTAACTATTCCTCCATCAATGGACATTTCTAATATTTCATTACTGTAACAATTAGCAAATGTATCTAGGTAGAAAAATTGCTGTAGGTAATCTTAGATGTACAAATCTTAAATCAAAGGTGTACAGGCCAGCCAGACGTGGTGGCACATGCCTATAATTCCAGCTACTGGATAGGCTGAGGCAGGGGCATCCCAAATTCAAAGCCAGCAAGAGCAATTGAGTGAGATTCTGTCTTGAAAGAAAATACATACAAAAGGCTAAGGACAGCTCAGTGACCCACGGATTCAAGCCCCATTATGGGGGGGGGGCGGGCGGTGTCTACTTCAACAAAAGAGCTTCAGCAATCACTTTCCAACCTACAGTACATGAATATGCCTACTAGACTAGGTGAAAACAAACATTTGATTCTATACATACTTTCAGTTTTTGTTAAACTACAGCAAGAGGTTTAAGGTACATTCTATGAATCTTAGTGAAGTAAGCACATTTTTACACATGATTAATTTCTTATTTTTTTAAAAAAATGAGTGAATCAGTAAGCCCATATATGAAGTTAAACACTACTTTCATTCTTCCTTGTTTTATTAAAAAATTATCTCTGATCAACACTATTCAAACTCCCATGTACAGTATTCATGCGTGGAAGACAGATAGCCAAAACGGGTTTCAGATCTTTAGGAAGAGAAATAGATGACCATGACCAAATGGCTCACAGAGCACAAGCTCAAACTCAGTGAGCCTCAACAATATATCTGCATCTGCACATATGCTGTTCTTCCATTTCTCTTTTTATGCAGCATAACGGACAACTTCTTACATGACAGAGAGGGCAGTCCTTTCTCTCTGGCCGTAAGATGGTCACTGCCTAGCTTAGTAACATATTGTACATGCACAACAACTCCTGTGAAGTTGAATTAAGACACATGGCACCTGTACCCCAAAAGACACAGGCCACAATAATAACGTATGATGTTTACTTATAGCTCTTATGTTGCACTAACTACGACTTTGGTCTGCTGTCTCAAATGGTGATATCCAAAAATATATACATGCCAACAGGTTTAATGTGAACTTTGATCATCATCACTCTGTAACTTTAAACTTCACATCAATTTATCTTCCCAAAATGTTTCCACGAAAAAGTTTAAACTGAATTAGTGTCATTAGCTCTTGATAGCATAGATTTCTATAACTCATATACAGTTGAAAACCAAGCATTTCTGTTTTTCACTTTTGGGTTTTTTGTTGTTTGTTTTTGAGACAAGGTCGTTCTATGTAGTTCAGGCTAGATTTGAACTCACTATGTAGCTCAGGCTGGCCTTGAACTCGAAGCAATCCTCCTGTCTCAGCCCCCCAAGTGCAGGGATTATAGATGTGGGCCACCACACCCACCTCTTTTTTCCTGATGCAACTTAAGGTATAGGAATCACTATCCCTCTAGTTAAACACTGGGTCCAGTCTGACAAATGGAAAATCTTATCAAAGCCACAAATCCTTTTCCTAGGAATAAGCTCATAAAACAGTAACTCTTACGTATGAAGTCAGGGAGTTCTTTCATCTATTCACATATTTATTTAT